TCTGATGTGTGAACTCTGTCGTGCAAGAAAAACCCGACGTAAAGCATCCACCTTATCGGTCCGCTAAATAATTAAATACAAATATCAGTAAATAAACAGACATGATATTTTAAACAGTGGAAACAAAGACAAATATATTTCAAACTTTCAACCAAAAGATAAAACAAAGACAAATACTAACTTCACAGTGTTAAAGAATACACAGTTTAGCAGAATTGGCAGCAACCGAATAAATTTACTTCAACCAAAAGACAAAACAAAAAGACAAATACTAACTTCACAGTGTTAATAAACAGTTTAGCAGTATTGGCAGCAACCGAATAAATTTACTAAGCAATCTAAGTGAAATGGTTAATTTAAGTGAAATTACGAGTAAATTTATCATCAAGTTAAATATGGAAAATCTTAAACTTACCTCGTTGCGTAGAGTATGAACCTCATTCTGCAACGATACTACCATCTCACGTAGAGCGGCAACCTCACCACGTAAAGTAGACACCTCCACACGCCATGCACCATCGTTGTCGCGTAGAGTACCGATCTCCTCACGCAAGGCATTGACCTCATCACATAACTCCCTTGACTCATCCCGTGGAGGTGGAGAACAGGGAGATAGAATTCGTGGCATCTTTGCTGGTCGCCTATCATGAGGTGATGGTGGAGAAGAGGCTCGATGATGTGACGGGATAGGTGATGGCTCTCGTTGTAGAGGTGTATAGTCGGGTCGATCAGGTGATGGCTCTGGGTGAGGTGATGGCTCTCGAAGTGGAGGAAGTGGAGGCTGCTCATCATTCGTGCCATCAAGAAAATGCTGACTAGCTTGCCACCAATCAGTGGCAAGCTCAGCCTCCGTGGGTGTCAGTCTCATTAATGGAATGTTGGTCTCCTAAAAATATAAAAACTCAAACAAAGTTAAACGTCTACTATTAATAACTTGTTTATATATGATAGTATTTGTGTTAACTTACATTATTTATTGTCGCATATGGTATTAAGTCTTCCCAATCCAACAGACGTTTCCTCTTCCAGGAAATAGCCCTGGGAATATCATTTGAAGTTTTTATTGCATATGTCTTCATGGCGGGAAAGGCCTCGAATATCCAAATCTACAAACAATATAATAACAAACATTAGTAATTGTTAAATAATTAATTATAATTTTGAAAACATTATATAGAAATTCTTACCTTAAAGGCCCAAACAAAGCCTGACAAAGTGTATTTCGACCCATCGTCCCGCAAACTTTTGCGGTCATCAAAGGCAGACGACAACTTAGTCCAGGTAGCTTTCCATATATACGAACCCCACGGAAACAGATTCCATGCATTTAGGTCCTCTACCAATAATATTAGCTCCTGAGGAATAGGTTGTCTGGCCTCTCTGCCTAAAAAGCCGGCATACAAAAGTAGTAGAAGGCATACTCGGACAATATCGACGTCATTCATCCGAGTAAAACTATCTTTCTTATTAAACAATTTCTTCATGTCGTCGACGTGTAAGTTTGGCTTCTCTATTGACTCATCAGGAAAAACCCTGGATAACCATGATGGGCGGGTGATATGACGAGTGTACCGGCCTACATCATCGTGTCCGAATCGTAGACCAATGATTAAGCAGAACTCCTTCAGCCCAAAACAAGTATACGCCGGTGGAAAATGAAACCATATCTTTTCCTCACCACGTTGTATACTGTCGGGTAGATCGCTAGTCATGGTCTGAAGCCACAAATGGGTCAAATTAGCATCTCCACCCGGATGTTGTACTCTCAGCCATGGCCCGAAGCAGGTTTCCACAAACAATTTTCTTTGTGCAGGTGAAAGCTTCGAAGCAATTGTAGTGGCTAGGCTAACTTTATTCCTTAATGTCAATGAAGCCGAAAAAAATTTCTACAAAAACAATAAACATACCAAGTTAGATATACCAAAAACTACACTGTCAAGATATACCAAAAACAATAAACATAAATAGTAGTTTATTCTTGAAACTAAAATTTGCAACACTGTTTTGCCTTTTGGTTGAAATGAAAATCGCAATGAGATAATGAGAATCGCAACGCGGAAATGACTATCGCAACGAGAGAATCGCAACGCGAAATGACTATCGCAACGAGAGAATCGCAACGCGAAATGAAAATCGCAACGAGAGAATCGCAACGCGAAATGAAAATCGCAATGCGATTTTGGTTTCGCGTTGCGATATTTATTTCCGCGTTGTGATTTTCATTCTCGAAACTATTCTTCTTCTGCATTACTTCAACCAAAAGACAAAACAAAGACAAATACTAACTTCACAGGCTAAACAGTTTAGCAGTATTGGCAGCAATCGAATGAATTTAATAAGAAATCTAAGTGAAATGGTTAATCTATTATTGAAATTACCAGTAAACTTTTCATCAATCTCAATATGAAAAACCTAAAATAATGCAAAAATTTCAAAATAAAAATAAAAAAAACTAACCCTCGGAGGTTGATTTTCCATTTCTGAATAATTGTGAGGGATTTTTGACTGTGAATGGTTGTGAGGGATTTCGCCGGCGATGGGGACGGAAATCTTCGGAGATGGGGACGGATTTCGCCGTAGAGAGTGAGAGATAGAGATGGGACTGAGTGTTGTGATTTTAGGTTTGAGGTTATGAGTTGCGATTACTGTGGACGGTTCAGTTTCCGATTTATTAAGAAAAAATTCGTGTTTGGAATTTGAAAAAAAAATACACGTTAATACGAATGGAGCTATGTAAATCGCATTGCGATAGTAAGATTCGCATTGCGATTTACGTATTCACATTGCGATTTTCCTAATTCGCATTGCGATTTTCCTAATTCGCATTGCGATTTACTTAATCGCGTTGCGATTTACGTATTCGCATTGCGAATTATGAAAATCGCAACGCGAATACGTAAATCGCATTGCGATAGTCATAATCGCGTTGCGAATCTGGAAACTGATTTGCGATAATGGAGATCGCGTTACGAATTAGCGATCGCATTGCGATTTTGTTGGTCATTTTGGAAAATCCAAAAAAAATTGGTTAAAATCGTATATTATATGGGATTTTTGGTCACTGAGGTTATTTTCTCTTAATTTTATTATAGTTTAAATGAATTCATCCTTTATACGTGTGTGTTAAAATATACTTCAAGGGCACGAATTAAGTTACTTCAGTGAATAAAAAATGATTCTTATTTCTATCTTAGATTCTAATACTAGAGACTGTCAGGATATTTAAAAATTCATTGTCAAATAGTTAAGAGTATTTAGAACATTTATTACTACTTGTAAGCAGCCTAAATTAATCAAAATAAAATAAAATATACTCCAAGTATTTATATTCTTTGTTCATTTAAAATTTAATCCTATTTAAATATAAAATATAAAACATAAAGAGATTTAGATTCCTGAAAATAAGACTAAATTCTAAATATACAAAGAACAAGCAAACTTAGGGGGTGTTTGGTTCAAGGATTGTGGGATTCCCATGGGATGGGAATCCCACATTCCCATGTTTGGTTGGCCGGAAATCTCATTTCCGGTAATGTTTTATTACCAATAGTAGATTTTTTGCGGTATATTATCGGGAATGTCATTACCTCCCTTCCCTTAGGTATTGTAACATTACCGGTGTTTTGGACTAAAATGCCCTTAAATTTTTATTTTTTTTTCAAAAATATCATTCTTTTGTCATTGAATAATAAAAATTCTACGAATGTTAAATTACAAATTTATCCTTAAATTATTTTAGATTTACAAAAAAAGTCTATAATTAAACTTTTATATGAAGTTCAGGGGTTAAAAAAATTTATCCTTTCATTAAACATTTTTTATATTTTTAATTTTGTAAAAAAAATTATATAAATATTATGAATTTAATTTTTTAAAGAAAATATATAAATATTTTACAATTTGTAATATTATACAAATATATAATAAGGACAATTTGGTCAAATATACATTCCAATAATCTTTTATTCCTTTAACCAAACACGGTAATCTTACATTCCTGTTAAACCAACCAAACACAAAATACAACATTCCCAGTAATCCTATTCTCTGGTAATATTTTATTCCCACTGGTAATCTTACATTCCGTGAACCAAACGCACCCTTATAGTATATTTAATCATATTTTTAAGAATTTAACCATTCTATCATTTTAGTTAAAGAATTTAAATCCAATAATTAGCATAGTTAAAATTTCGATCCATTACCACATTAGTTTTTGTTACATAGCTTCAAAATTATTATTTCTTATTTCAAAATATTATATAAACTAAACTAATATAACGACTTCAATAACGTTAATAATTAAATTTAAAAGAATAGAAAAATTAGATTTCTAAAAAAGCTTAAATTTGAGATGTGCATAGAGCGTAAATAGAGTTAATTGTATCATATGTCCCCAATCTATAATCCTTATTTTTAATTGGTTCTTATTTTGAAATATTTTAATTTTATCCTCGAACTATGAATCTCATTCTAAGTTAGTTCTTAAACTTTTGAACATTCTAATTTCATCCCTAAACTATGACCCTTTTTCTATATTGTCACCAAACTTTTGAATATTCTAATTTTATCCCCAAATTCATCCAAATATATAACTAATTTCAACCATAGTTTAACTTAAATTTTGTTGTTTTGAACATATAGTAATATAAATTGGCCTAACGATTTTATTTACAAGGGATGTGAGTCGTATAGTTTAGGATGGAACTGAAATATTCAAAAAGTTTAGGGACCAATTTAGAATAAAAGTTATAGTTTAGGGATGAAATTAAAATATTTAAAAGTTTAAAGACTGATTTAAAATGAAAATTATATTTTGAGGACATATGATGCAATTTTTTTTTATTTTTTGGGTACATGCAATTAACCAGCATAGATATATGAACTATTATTTTAAAAGGACACATAGTAAAATATTCACTGTTAATTTAATCAATTAAACATTGAAATCAAAATAGTCTTCTCTTCCCATACTACATTTCCAAATCCATATCTTCTTTCGTTTCAACAGATTTGTTTCCTTCTGTTGCTTCACCGGCAGCCATGGCGGCTCTGAAAGAATTCTTCTCCCACCTCTACACCATCACCATAGTCTTCTTCACTCTCTTACGCCTTGAAGTTGTGATTCTCATCAGATCCATCACCGGCGGCGTTTCTGACCCAGAAAAACACCTGATCACAACGACCCAATACCTAAAACTCATCGAAGAAATGAACCCAACGATTCGTTACTCGAGAAGATGGTCGAGTGAATGCGCGGTGTGTTTGATAGAGCTTCAAGAAGGTGAGAAAGTGAGGAGATTGAAATGCCGCCACAGCTTCCACAAGGATTGTTTGGATCGGTGGCTTCAACAACAGTACTGGGCGACTTGTCCACTTTGTAGGACCAGAGTTTTGCCAGATGAGATTGTGGCTAACCATCACAGGCTGCGAAACCAGGTAGATCATGATGAAGAGATGATCTTGTTACCTGCAATTCATGGTAATAGTTTACACAGATTGTTCTTATTCAGACTTCCCAATTTGCTAACACTACTATGATTCTATTTCTTCCCTTTTTTGGGTGAATCTTATTTCTGTAATATATTTCTATATTAGAAATCTTGTAAAAGATGAACATCTTTGGTTTCATTTTGATTGTCATTTTCTTTATTTTTTGTTTGTTAGTGTGAACAGGAAGGGGATAATATAAATCATAAAGTCATGTTAAGAGGAACGGTTGATGATGCAAATTTATGGAACAGCCCTATCAATGATTAAACAAGGTCAACTACTAGGTAGGCAATTGCAATTTAATGAAAGGCTTATCATAAAAATTGATATTTGAAATTGACTTGATAATTTCTTTGGGTAAACTACATCAAATTTAGCTGAAATTCAATATTCATATTAAAATTTAGGGTAAACTACATCTATTACCACCGAACTTTAGGTTTTATATCATTCACACTACTGAATTTTATAATTTTGTCAATTATAGCACTGAACTTTAATTTTCGTTTTAATTATACCACTGAACCGTTAAATCGTTAACGACACAATGACGTGATTGACGTCTGCCGACATGGCTAACGGTTTTCGATGTAGACACCTCACCTAAACGATGTAATTTTGATCTTGTTGTTAACAATTTAACGGCTCAGTGGTATAATTGAAACAAAATTAATAGTTCAATGATATAAATGATACAAAGCTTAAAGTTTGGTGGTATCTGGTGTAGTTTACCCTTAAATTTATTATTGATTTTTTTTATAGAAATCGTTTATTTTATTAAAAAAATATTCAAATTATTATAAAGGTTAACAACCACAACCGTAAACTAAATATATAATAAATATATTTTTTTCTAGACATTACTTAAGATCACATAAGGACCATACAAGGAAAATGTTAAAAAATCTAACCAAATAAATTCGAACAAAAGGTAGATACGAACAGATATGACTGCATCGACAAACAAACTACAAGAGGGAATGAAGTTATTGAAAGACCACCGACAAATCGCAAATCAAAATCAAGTGACGTGAAAAATACTATCCACAAACGCAAATCACGTATCCAAATCTAATCTGAATGTCCAAAGTAGAGAAAATCAATATGATAATAAATAAGGATCATCTTGACAATCAAGTTAATGTCAAATCCAACCCTAAAAAAAATGATAAACGAAAATGACGACTTAGAATTTCTATAGAGTAAGTATATCCGGTCGGTTGATCAAGCTGCTCATATTTTTTCTATCGTATTCCTTCGAGTCGTGGATTTTAGACGCATTATGAGCATACTCTTTCCTTCCCTTAGAATCCTATCTTCACCACCTCTCTAAGTAGGATTAGAATTAGACTTAGAATTTGTTAAAAAATTGACTCAACTGTAAATTTTACTTTAGACTCCAATTATATTATTAAATCGTTTATTAAAACAACATGATGACATAGACAATAATTTCTATCAAATAGACAATAATTTATATCATCGTGACGATGTGAGGATGATGTAGATACAACTAATTTAAGGGGTAAAAAAAATCGTTTTGATGTGATTATATTGTGTCAAAAAAATATATATATAGTTCCGGATGACTATAAAATTTTATTCCTTGTTTTATTTTCATTTTCTTTTTTATCATTTTATCTCTCATGCATTACTCAACCTATAATCTTGTTAAGGGATGTCTCAGGTACGATTGTCTTAATATACGGCTAAGAAAATACGTTACTGAAAATATTAATATCTTTTAACATTTTTGATAAAGCATTACAAAAATATTATTTATTCTACCGAAAATATTAATATTGGGTTCCACCGGAAATTAGTTAGCGAAATTAACATTTCCAATAAAAAAATAATGTTTTAGTTAGTGTTTTACCGTAAATGTTAAAAAAATATTAACATTTCCGGTAGGATATTTCTTTAGTTATATATTAAAGCTTCCGTACAGTAGAACTACTCATTAGGGGAATATCTCAAGTACGGTAATCTTAATATACGGCTAAAGAAATGCGCTATCGAAACCTCTCGTTAAACCCCAACTGCACCGAGTACTATTCATAGCAGGCGACAACCACTGTAACACTCGATATTAGATTGGGACAGTTTGACCCGAATACCAAATGTCACGTTAGTATCAACAGAACTGATTCCAAAATATACATGTTTTTTTTCCTTTAAATAAATCATATATGCATCGATGAAAGCACAACAAAAGTAAATTATACACAAGAGTGGACACGCATCCTAAAACATGCTTGTAACTAAAGCATGCTTAGACACCAAACTATTTGGATAATCATTTAATTGGTCAAAGTTCAAGTGTCCTACCAACAGGTACTTGTGACTAGCATCAAACTGGAGAGTGCTTATTGGTTCAATCCATCACCTGAAACAGCCTTCAACATACACAACACACACACACACACATAAAACAAGCTGAAATCATGGTGCATGTAAGATAGAGCATGTTGTCATCATCAATGCGGTAGGCAATTAGGCATCAAACAAGCTTCCGTTTTCCAGGTATTGGTAAATCATTCAAGGATTGCGCAAGAGACAGAATCCATGGAGCTTGACGATATTCTTGTGTATCTCGTTTCGGAAACTTGGATCAAAGCCAGGCTGCTCAGCTTGCAAACAATTTTTTTCAAAGCAACGACTTTGCCACTTGGTGAGACTGCTCTATAGAGTGTGCACACTGCCATAACCCCAGAGTTCCAATTCAATATCTGAGATTCGCTTACACTGTACTTAAAACAGATATAGTATTTTGTTCAAGTTTGCAACGCTAATACCAGAAAAGTTAATTACTGATCAAATAATAAAAACTTAGGATGTGTAATAGTGGACGTGCCGGAGTGGTTATCGGGCATGACTAGAAATCATGTGGGCTTTGCTCGCGCAGGTTCGAATCCTGCCGTTCACGTTGGAGAAGATAAAGAAACATTGCTCGGTAAAATGTTGAGTTTTAAACTGAATTTCTAATGTAAATGTCCTTAATAGTAGGTTAGAGTGTCTATATATTTGTACATATTTGTTTATTACAAACAGTGAGGGATAAGAATCAAACAAGCTTTTCCTAATTACTTTCAATTTGGCATTAGAGTTAGGTTCGTTGATCTTAAATTAATTTTTTTATAAAAAAAATGGGTGAAAAAACTAATAATCGGTTGGTCTAGTGGGATGAGACACTAAATTCCTCAAGTAAGGTTAGAGATTCAAACCCTAATAATTGCGAATAAAGCAAACTGGATTGAGAGTATCGCCCTTGTCTCTATAGTACTCTATCTGGATTAGTTGGTCAGTAGATCGAATATTAGTGATTAATTCAAAAAAAATTATGGGTGAAAAAGGTGCTTTCTCCACCAAACAAGATGGGTCGCTGAAACGACTACTACTTCAAAAATTTTCACTGTTATACATAAAACGTAACTATCTTAAATTCAACTCATCAAGTTTATATACATTTAAAAATAAATTTACAAACAAGAGCGTTTATAAGTTTATCAAAATAAATTTTAAAATAAATATATGATTTATATACTAATTACAAGTAAGTGATCTATAAATATATATGCGAACCAATGTACTCAGATATTGTACTCTGAAAACAATTGTTGGAATTCTGTGATAACAGTGCTCTTCGAACTGCTCAAATCTACTAACCTATGAATGAAAATATCTGAACAATATGCTTCACAAGATCAATAATAAACCACCAATCGAATGAATACTATAGATATAAACATGCAACGAGAACTAAGAATATACAAGATTCACAATCCAAGGCATGACATGCTTAAGAATAGGGCCCTAAACGAGTCAAGATGAGTTTGATTATTGTTAAGTTCGACTCGACTCGATTCGAAAAGTGTAAAATTGAGCTCGACTCGACTGGAAGATTCACGAGCTTTTCAATCTCAGTTCAAAATGAAAAATTGAATCTCGACTCGAGCTTAATAAAACTTGAACTCGAAATATTCTCAGACTTAGCTCGATTGAAGTTTAAACTCGAGCTTGAACCTTAAATACATGAAAACCTTATATTGTATTTTTTTTTTAAATAACATTTAATATTATTAATAATTTAATTTAAAAAATTTAAAATTTTAATATACTATTCTTTTGAGTTGTTTCGAGCTTTTTAAGTCGGATACCATGTAGCTCACTTTGACTCGTTAAAAATTCGAGTCGAATTCGAGCTCGATTTAAGTTTATTTGATTCGAGAATTGATCGTCCTTTGATCAAATCGATTTCAAGTAGCTCGCAATATGGAGGAGCTTACTGGTTCAATCCATCACCTGAAACAGCCTTTAACTTCAAAAGCAATGAAATTTGTTCTTCTTACAGCAGCTTATGAATCGGGTTAAATCCAAGCTCACCTTATCCATGCCTACATGAATCAAGAATATGTTAATGATCGACCGAGTGATATAATTACATATAAAATTAAATTTTAATGCTATAATTATATTAATTTATAATTCATTGATATATTTATTTTCAGATAATCTAGAGCGATTAAGGAGTAGTATATGTTCATAATCTTTTTTAATAATTGACAATACAAATATAATTACTCGAACGATCTCAAGAAAAAAGAATACTTTCTGACTATTGAAACCACTCGATAGGTTCAATTCAATGATATTTTTAGTATAAAAATAAAAGTTAATGGTACAGGGTATATTTACCCTATAAATTATTTAATTTTGAGATATATTTTTATTAATATTTATTTATTTTATTTTATATAATTGTACTACTGAATCATTAAGTTAAATGACACATTGACATGGACGACAATTTCTATCAATGTTATAACACCTAAAATAATATGATTTTGGTATGAATAAATTAATGCTCAAAACAACTTATTTTTAGGACTTTATAAATTCTTTAATTTGTATATTGATTTGACATAGAACTTTAAACGTTCAAATTTTAGGCACAAAACTTTCCGATAATTGTTGAAGGTCAACTATCGTCCAACATCGATCATCATTTACGGCGACTTCGATTTTAAAATATTTATATTTCACTCATC